AATTTCTAGCTACTTAGCTTCCATGAGTTAGTACAACTCATTTCCCTCTCTGACTCTCAGATTTTTCTCAGATAAAAAGTGAGATTGGTCTAGGTCAGTGGTTTTTAATGCTTCCTATTCTGAGATTCCTTTTCAAAATAACTATAGTCCCTCACACGAGAACTGTCCTTTAAATAACTGTTCATTTTTTAAAAACTTATTTTAGAAACAACAGTTATATGCATTTGGAACAAATATTCATTTATTCATAGAAGTACTGCATGCCTGCACCGAGCAATAAAATGAAACATTTTTCCCTCATGCAAGCATTGTGGCAAACGAATTTACATGGTTCTCTACAACAACTTTATGGATTCCACACCTCTGTGAAAACCATGTCCATACTCCAAATGAAATGGCTATATGTGTGTGTGTGTGTGTGTGTGTGTGTGTGTGTGTGTCTGTGGTTTGTGTGTGTATGTAATTACCTTCACAAATACAATACATAACACACGGCAGAAAAAAAAAAATCTGTATCTAAAATTATTTCCAGCTGCCAAATTGTGTAGTACCACTTTGCATTTAAGAAAAAAAAAATTAAACCTATCACTTGAATAAAAACAAAACCCACAAAATACCATTTTGGAATGTTTTCACTGAAATTCTATTATTGGAGGCTAGATGATGCCACAGAGGTACACCTGGCGTCCTGCAAAGCTGATGCACATGGGAAGACCCAGGTTTGTACTCAGAGACCTCCCTGAATACACGAGCGCCCACAACCCAGGGCTGGCTGAAGCTGGAGATGGATCACCCTCCTGTTAGGAGGTGGGGTGCTGTCTCTTTCTCTATCTTTCCCACTCATGAAGGAAAGAAATAAACTTTTCAAAATAAATAAATAAATTTCTATTCTTATTTCCTTCAAATTGAGAAGAGGAAGAAATTATTTTTTAACTTTCTATGCTATACTTATCTATGTTAGATGAAATCCTACTCACAAAACAGGCTTATAAAAAAATAAATATTAGGGCCACCCAGTGGTATGATGGTTAGGACTGCTAGATCCCACACAGCTTAGTAAGCAGTTCAAGACCCAGACCTGGTGGCTTGAAAAACACACCAGGCACATCTGAGTGAGTGCCCTAAATCCCGAAAGAAGAAATGGAGGTGCAAAGGACTGCAATATGGTCATCCCCCAAGGAGTGCTTTCTCATTTTCTCTTACTCTCTCTCTCTCCGCCACATCCAGTGAACACACGCACTCTACTGAAATTTAAAAATAATAATAAAATACATATTAGAAAAAAGAATTCAGTAGTTTTATGAATCTAATTCTGGTATTAATGACAAACATGTGAAACAAGTGGTTAAAAGATATCTCAGAGCCAGCAGCTAGTGTGGAAGTATAAGTGGCCAGATCCTGGAAGCTTGAAAAATCATGAGGAGGGGACCAGCAGTTAGAGTAATGGCTATGTTCCTGAACTCCCATGTAGTCGACCATGATTTGAGTCCCAGACCCGGTGGCTTAAACTCACGCCAGGCATGTGTGTGTGCGTCCCCAGGATCCTGAGAGGAGAATGGAAGAGAAGGGATTGCGGCGTGGCCATCACCCCTAGGAGATGACTTCTCGCTTTCTATCTCTCTGTCTCTCTGTCTTTTTGGTGAGTGCACGTGCCCTATTGCAAAAACCTCTCAAAAAAAAAAAAAAAAAAGGCAACAAAAGACCAGCAGTTGTCCTAATGACTACGTTGCTGGACTCCCATGTAGTTGAGTGCGGTTCAAGTCCCGGACACAGTGGCTTAAACTCATGCCGGACGCGTATGTGTACATGCCCAAGATCCCTCGAGGAGAAGAGATTGCGGCATGGCCATCCCCCCTGGGGGGTGATTTCTTGCTTTCTGTCTCTTGGTCTTTCTGGTGAGTGCACACGCCCTATAGCAAAAAATCTCCCTCCCCTCAAAAAAAAGGCAACAACAGGAACAACTGACTACTGGGTTAACTTATTTTACAAGACATCCTTTTTATATTTTTCCCTTGATGTTTCAGAATTATGGCCCTAATTTAGTTTACCCTTTTATGCCACTAGAGTGTCCTGAACTAAAACTGTATCATTGCTTTCTAGGTATGTTTCCTTTTACAGATATTTCTAAAAATGTGTAAAAGTAAGGGCAGTGGGAAGGGGCACATGTTCACTGAATATGTAGTCTTTTCTCTATTGGGGTCTCCCCAGAATGCCAAAATGGAATTGTATATACACGTCTACCAAGAGTTTAAATTAAAAAGAGGATGAGACAAAGATTTTTATTAAAAATCTGCACCAAAGTATTGAACAAATCACTACTAAATCTTCTTCCCAAATTACAACAGGCTCACTGTTTGCATGTTTTCCCACATGATGCACATCAGCTTTATTCTCTTCAATTAAGATAAAGACACTGTGGGACCAGTAGTTAGTGTAATGGCTGTGTCGCTGGACTCCCACGTAGTAGACCGTGGTTCGAGTCCTGGTCCCGGTGGCTTAAACTCACACCGGACGTGTGTGTGTGCGTGCGTGCCCAAGATCCCGAGAGGAGAATGGAGGAGAAGGGATTGCAGCGTGACCATCCCCCCTGAGGGGTGATTTCTCGCTTTCTATCTCTGTCTCTCTCTGTCTGTCTGGCGAGCGCACATGCCCTATAGCAAAAACCTTTCCAAAGAAAAAAAAAAAAGATAAAGACATTTTTAGGGCCACATGTAACTGGGCCATAATTAAGAGCTGTATTAGAGAAACACTTTATTAGACTTAAATACTTCCCAGATCAAAAACTTCACCACCATTATGTTCCTAGTATATCATTTCTTTTAATGATCTGGGAACCAACAAAGTCAAAGACCTACAAACACAATGATTATCTCAACAACTTGTGACCACCTTCAAAATCAGTAAGTATTTATTTCTAACTCAATGAAAACTTAAGAAAGTGCCACACTAAATTTCTTTATCACTTCACCAGATTATGTAAACTAGACTGCCAAATACCATATTATGCAAAATAAAAGCCAATTTGAATGTACTAAGCTCTAAAGGCTGGGAATGGAAAACAATCTTGCATTTTTAGGTGAAAACTATTGTGGAACCCTTTGACAAATAATGTACTTGAATAAATTATTCATTTGAGGGTAAGCAATCAGAGGACCTAAGGGGAATATAAACGTATATAAAGAAAGTGGGTTTCAAGTTTCTTCCAGGATAGGGAACTGTGTGAAATCACATCACTTATACGAAGAATGCTTTACACATCAGATTTTGTTTGAATTCCAATGTTTATTCTACTCATTACCCACCTCGGAGGAAGCAGTACACAGTACAGAAGGACCACTTTATCTCTACACACAGACAGGAAAAGCGCAGATCCAAAAGCAGGGGCTACAGACAAGTGTCTTAGACTAGACTCAAGAGTAGTTTCATCTGCCTTTCCAGTCAGATCCCTTGGTCTTGACGGTACAGTGAAAACGCTATTTACATGTAAGTGTCCCAGCCTCACTAAAGGCGAATGTAATCCCTCATGCCTATACTCTAACACCCTACAGGATCAACAGGAGCCAGCCCCATTAAATATTTGACGAAAGGGGCCAGCAAGTGGTGTGGTAGTTAAGGGCGGAGATTCCCATATGGTGACCACAGTTCAAGTCCCAGACCTGGAGACTTGCTTCCTCTCCCCCCACTCCCCCACTCTGTCCATCTCCAGTCAAATTAAATAAATATAATTCTAAAAAAAAAAAAAAGTTTTAAAAATCGACATTAAAAAGTCAGTGAATTCTAATCATAATCTAGTGTTCCGAACTCTGGGAAAGAAAGCAGCCAAGTAGTTACCAATTTTCTTGCGACTTCTGGATTGGCCTGGCAAAATTAAGTTAGTAATGAAACAGATCCAAGAAAGCAAAAATTCTTTTCAATTCACATTCCCAAACAGCTCAGGCCACAAAACAGCTGAAACAAATGACATCCACTACAAAGGCAGCCTCTGCTCTGTGGAACAGCAGCACTTAGGAACTTCTGCGTTTCCTGAGGCCAAAAGACAATCAAAAATAACTAAGGTTTAAAGTGACAGGGCACCTAGGATCTCAATAAAACATGCTGGGTCCTGGGGCAGACCATAAGGACCAGGCAGGGGAAGTTAAAAGGCTACTTGCTGTTAGCTAGGCAGGCCAGAACTAATCAATCTATATTTTCCTGGGCATCAGTACAGGGAGCCATTAAAAACAGGGTCGCCAGTTTCCTGTTGCCCTCACTCACTGTTTTTTTGAAATAAAAAAAGTAAGAAAAAAAAAAGAGAGAGAGAGAGAAATGCCTATAGAGGCTTCCAGTCCGCCTGCGCGAAGCAATGCCAAGACCAAACTTTAAAACCTTGAGGAAGGTGGGAAAGTCAGCCAGCCAGACGCTGGGCTGGGAAAAGCCGGGAGAGGAGAGGAAGTGTGGGGGGGTTGGGAGAAGG